GACCCGTATGTTTTTTTTTCTATGTTTGTTACGCGATAACTCCGCCAATTATGAACCGATTTGAACAAATCTTTTTTCGGCGTATAGGTAATACCTCAAGGGTGGTCCCATATAAATTTAATAATAGAAAAAACAACCCCCAAGGGTGGAAAATTGGGGATGAACTTTTTTATACGCAATATCTCCGCCGATTATAAATCAATTTGAACGATTATTTTTTTGTTGAATACGTATTATCAAAAGGGTGGTTTCATGCGAATTTGAAGAAAATATTTCACCCCCAAGGGTGGAAAATTGGGGATGAACTTTTTTATACGCAATATTTTTAATTTTTAGTTTTTTTTGTGTTCACGCTTTTGAAGTCGGTTTTATTTTTTTTAAAGTTATTGTAACGTCAAATGGTAGTGAAACTTCAGATCTCTTTCAGATTTAAGCCTGTCACGTCATAATATGTCAATGTCACCCCTCCCGTGCCGCTTCCATACCTCAGGCACTGACTGAGTTAAATAGGTCTATTACATTAGGTTAGGCTAGAGCATTAGTTCCCAAACTTATTTGAGACGCGCCCCCTTTGACCATACAAGAAATTTCACGCAAAATTCCTCTTGTCAAGATTATTTATTAGTCGTATCGAGCAGTCTGGAATGCATTCTCTTTGCAGGTTTTTTTATACTTAAGTACACACTCGCGCCCCTCTTTAAAGGTCTTTGCGCCCCTTACTTTGGGAACCAATGGGCTAGAGTAAGTTTTTTTATATTTCACTGGTAGTACATAGCATATTGTATTTTTCTACAAAGTTATTTACCTTATTGTATTGTTTACGTTATTGATTAGTTATAAAGCATTATTTGGTCGGACATACAAGTAACAGAGGTAGTCAACAAGCTCCCTTACACTTAGTTTTGAGCCATCTTCTTTGATAGCTTTGATGAGGACAAGTTAAGACATGTTTAGAACCTCTGGCAAAAAGAGAGGGCGTGGCCTATTTACCGCTAGATTGGCTTGATTTCCTAATTTCAACTGTAAATTTTTTTTGGTTTAACCCAGGAGGGGTGTAAACGGGACCATAATTTAGCTTTCTATATCGAATAATTTGTGGAAAACATACGGATATTTTATACTTTGTACAGAATAAAGTTTATATTATAGTGGAAAATATGCAACATGTGAAAACTTGTTCTTCACCAAAAATATACAAGCAGAGAATATGGCTCCATAGATCCACGTTCTGTGTGATTTCGGCCTGTATTTATAACCCGATTATAAGTTTAAATTAATTAGCTTAATACCAAGATTATATTTTATTGTCTGATAAGTTCTCAATAAACTATCAGGGACTTTATCAGCAAGTACCACCGGCAACAGTGTTAACTATTCATTGCCTGTCATGCCGTCTCGTTTGACCGCAAATAATCACCATTAGATGAGAGCGAGAGCAAAAATGGAAATGGAAATTGCAAATAAAATGATCTCTGTTAAACTTTTCTCTTATAAAGGATTAAAAATATGCACCGGATTATAAATACACTGACAAAAATGAAATCTACCATCGACTGAAGATTTTATATTTCAGACAAACGGCTGTCACACACCTAATATTTAAATTTCATTCGCATTAATATATTATATGACAAAAATATATAGATTTATTATTTTACAACGAAATTAATTTTGAATTCACTAAAATCGAAACTTTATGTAAATACTCAATAGGATTCCAAAATACCAATGAATTTAAATAACTAATACTCTGGAATTTCAAACTTGTGAGACTGACATAATGCATACAAATGGATTTTTAATTTATACATTATTCTAAATAAGACCCAATTTATAAATAAAGGAAATAATGAAACTTTTGTAAGAAATATCTAACACTTATTGAATAATTATTTACCATTTGATTTTGTTTTAAAATAGTCCGTAGGTCTTTATATGATAGTGGGAATAATTATATTCCCACCAGAGCTTGTACCTTCTGTTAAGGTAAAAGAAATATCGTTTCTTAAAAATAGTCATTTTACCATAAAAACATTTTAAAACCATAAAAGAAGATAATTTTAAAGAAAATAATAATATATTAGTTATTTAAAATTAGCCTTTGTAAAAGATATAAATTAAGATCCATTGGTAGTACTTAGTTTGCCCGAATTCAGTCCCATAAGATCAAAATACTAATAATTTTACTAAACGAATATCAATGCAGCATCTAAAAGAAATCCTATAGAGATTACTATAATATAAACTGGACACGGATTCATTCCTAAAATATACGCTCACTTTATTTACCACTAAAACATTAATAAAACTAAAATTAACGCAAATAATATGTACACTTAAAAATTAATATCACTATCACTTAAAAGAAAGTTATTCAAAACTATGATATGGCAACACCAAGAAGCTTTAATGTACATAAATATCTGCTTAAAACCCCAAATTATATAACTGGATATATACATGTAATTATACATTATTATACATATTTTAACCATAGTGGATATGACTTTATTGTCATGTTTACATATGTATGTGATAAATATAACGTATACACTCAAGTGCAATGAATTTGGGTCACAAGTACAGTCAATTATGATAAAAACTTAACAATACTGTCAGAATTTTAGGGAATTCAAACTTACTTTACTCATTCATTTAAAATTTTGTGAATAACCAATTTTATTGTCCTCGAGTGTACCACATCAAAGTATACAAAACATCTCACTAGAAAAGTCGACTTATTCTTATAAGAATTAGAGCGACTTTAGCAGTGCAACCATAACACAATGTGCTTAGTGCGAGTTTGACATTATACGTAATCGCTAGCGACTGCGTAAAAAAAATTCATGAAATGTATGACAGATTGTACAGCGCCCCTAGCGGATATTTATCATAACATTAAATCTTTACCCGACTGCGCCAGAAGGAGAGTTATTTTAAGAAGTAAAATCTTCATAGATTTTTGACGCACTCGCTAGCGATGACGTATATGTAAACTGGCACTAAGAATGCACACTCAACGGATGCGCCATCGAGTGTATACGACAGATAAATTATTTACATAAAATATATTTTTGTTAAATTAACTAACTACTAAAATTTATACGTCGTGGATTTTAAGCAGATTTAGATTAACTACAAAACCGTGATTTAATAAGTCAAAATACATAATGAAATGCTATTTCGTACATAGTTATTTACGGGACTATTCCCACCTCTCGTTCCCACCACTGCAACTCCTGTGTAGCCAGGATCTACAGCTTGACCGCCAATAACCCAACCAATGAAGGTCAAGTTTGTCCATTTGTACATAGGTATTGTAGGCTACAATCTAGCCGCTAGATTGAATATTGTTGTATTGATAATTGAATGAATTTTTAAACTGTTTCATTTAGCTTGCCCTGTTTATTTACACTCAGCGGCACGGAATTTGGCCCAAGCCTAAACACCCAGATATGAGGCCAAATAGGTGTTGTATACCTAAGTTTCATGTGACATGTTAACAAAACATTTGTTTTTGTTAATTTAAGAGGCTAGATTAATAAAAAAAATGCGTCTGTTTAACTTTTTTGACTCTAGAAACGCATTTCGTTGTTGGAGCGTAAAGAGTACGGGTAAGTTTAAATTCGATATTAAATGTTGTAAGGGTTTGGCGTTTGGTTTTTTGTTTTTAAATTAATCTTAGGATTATTCTCGTTTCCATAATTTGAGAATAATGCCCATTACTCCAGCTCAAGTTGCTCAAATAGTGTTGCTTAGGAGTCAAGGGCGTATGCAGCGGGAGATGGCTGAAACTTTCAATTTATGACGTACAAACTTAAGATACACGTTAAAAAGGCATGACCAGACCACCTTTTACACAAGAAGATCAAGAAGTCAGGAATTAAGGTGTAAATCAGCGCGCGATGACCCGATTATCGTGCTTGCAATATCAAGAAATCGGGTTCTCACTACGTTTGAGATACGCCAGCGTTTACAAAAAGCAAGCCCAGTGAATATCAGTGAGCACACAATAAGAAGAAAGATGGAGGATCATAACCTGCATACTCGAAGACCAGCTCGAGGACCAGAACTTCTCCGATACCTTGGCGAAGTGCTACTTACGTTTTCTAGAGAACATGCAAATTGGACGAAAGGCTAATGGAGTAAAGTTCTATGGATCGATGATTGCAGAGTCACCTTAAGAGTTCCAGACGGCCGAGGAAGTGTATAGAGAAGGTGCGGATAAGAGTTACTACGCAAACAGACAGTTTTCATAAAGAGTTTACTCCATTAGTTTAACGTCCAATTTGCATGTTCTCTAGAAAACGTAAGTCGCACTTCGCGAAGGTATCGGAGAAGTTCTGGTCCTCGAGCTGGTCTTCGAGTATGCAGGTTATGATCCTCCATCCTTCTTCTTATTGTGTGCTCACTGATATTCACTGGGCTTGCTGTTTGTAAACGCTGGCGTATCTCAAACGTAGTGAGAACCCGATTTCTTGATATTGCAAGCACGATAATCGGGTCTACGCGCGCTGATTTACACCTTAATTCCTGACTTCTTGTGTAAAAGACCAGACCGGTCATGCCTTTTTAACGTGTATCTTAAGTTTGTACGCCATAAATTGAAAGTTTCAGCCATCTCCCGCTGCATACGCCCTTGACTTCTAAGCAACACTATTTGAGCAACTTGAGCTGGAGTAATGGGCATTATTCTCAAATTATGGAAACGAGAATAACCCTAAGATTAATTTAAAAACAAAAAACCAAACGCCAAACCCTTACAACATTTAATATCGAATTTAAACTTACCCGTACTCTTTACGCTCCAATAACGAAATGCGTTTCTAGAGTCAAAAAAGTTAAACAGACGCATATTTTTAGAAATCTAGCCTCTTAAATTAACAACAACAAATGTTCTGTTAACATGTCACACGAAACTTAGGTATACAACACCAATTTGGCCTCAAATCTGGTTGTTTAGGCTTGGGCCAAATTCCGTGCCGCTGAGTGTATTTGTGCTTTGTCCGTCAGACAGTTAATAAGAAAACATTGGACATAATTTTCATTTTTATCTTATCCAAATAATTACAGTGCCACATCGAGTTGAAATGTCGCGTGACGTCACTATTGTCTAGAATTTTGTGATGTCAGACGTCTGTCTGACGGACTAAATAGTATTTATATTTCATTACCGAAAATCATACCTATTGTAGGAGTGAAAAGGTATCACAAAATTATCTTTGTAGCATGCACGATTTGTACAAAATAGCATTCCATTATGTTCTTTTAAAGATACGATTAGTTAAATAGTTTGTGTAAGGCACTACAATCAACTTTTCGCCATTCTTCGTACCGTGTGCTTGGGTAAGAAGCCATAAGTTTGTATGGTGTTTTACACCAGTGGTTGTCAAACTTTTTTGTGAAACCCTCCTAAAATAATAAGCTGTAGACTGAGGAACGTGGCTAGGGTCATACCCCTTCTAAACCTATAGCAATATCTTTTGTCCCAAGCAGGATTTAAACTCGGCCAACCACCATGCATAGTATGGATGGTGGTTGGTATATCAAAAGCCAAGTATAGCTCGCGTAACAAAAGTTGAGGCGAACACTGCTACTCACACTGACGTATCAAATATCGAATGTTCTATCTCGCTCTTGCTATATTTGTGCGAGCGAGACAGAAAACACTTGTCGGTCAGACTATGCAGACGTCAGCGTATACAGATTCATAAACACAAACGAATCTTTGCCAATGTTGATAGCCTCAATTTTCACTGCGCGAACTATAAAAGTACTTCGTGGAAAATAAATATTCTTTTTAAATAATACCCAAGCCACGCCACTAAGAAGCGCATTCAACAAGCGACTCCTTCGGAGCTATCGTTGGCGTTGACGTCACAATCGATCGCCGGCAAATTGTCGATGACCGACTTCAACGTTTCTACCGTTTCATTCCCGTTACTCTCCGTTAACTCCGTACCGTTACCGGTAACGTACCTGCCGTTACTGGTATCGTTATCGTTGAGTTTTGATTCTGAATCACTCCTGTCACTTGTGTTATTATTTAAATTTATCCTTGAAGCAATACAAGTTGCATTTTCTTCAATAGGCGACATGTTGACACTGCTGCTATTACTCAAACTCATAACGTTGCCCGCGTTATTGCCGTCGTTATTATCGATAACGGTATCGAATACGTTATTGTTGCTGGATTCGCCGATCAAACGCACCGGGCCTCCGGTAGCGACGTCCAAAATACCTATAACGTTACTCGCTGCGACGTCCGCGTCTATAACTATTCTGTCGGAAATACCGTTATTGCCGGTATTGGAAATACCGTTATTACCGTTACTGGAAATACCGTTATTGCTTGTGCTGAGCTCGTCGTAGCCCGGCGGCATTTCGACGTTGCTTCTGGCTTCTTCATCGACGCTGTTGGTTCTGTGCAGTCGATCTCTGCTTAAATATTCTGGAGGCGGCCCGTATAGCTTGTACCTTCAACAATAGGATGTTTTAATTAATATTTTCATTCGTTAATCATGCAGAATATCGATTTAGATCTTCATCAGGTCATTTATAGGTAAAGTGCTTAACTTAGCGCCTGAGGTAGAGGGTTTTAAATAAATAAATATCCTTAGACATTTTTTACACTACGCTTCTAGTCCCAAACTAAGCAAAGCTTGTACTATGGGTACTAGACAACGGATATAAACATACTTAAATACTTTTTTTTTGTATACTGGGACGTGTAAAAGTGTAATTTAAACTTAAAATAAGTTAAGCCTATTTACAGAAATAAATGAGTTTTTTAATGTAAATACATAAATATTATACATAGTAACACCCAGACCCGTCACAGAAATTAAAATTCATCATAATTTCTGCCCGGCCGGGAATCGAACCCGGGACCTCTCGGTATAGTCCGTTCCGAACTACACCAAACGGCCGACAACCGGTGTTGTGACAGTCAGACGTCAGCGTGACTTCAGATTTGTATGCTGTCACGTCATAACATGTCAATGTCACCCGTCCCATGCCACTCCTATATCTCAGACACTGACTCATATTACGGCACTATAGATATAGATCTGTCAGTGTCTAACGCCCGTATTTACAAACGATGCTTGCTTAAGTGAAGCAGCAAATCGAACGCACAGCGTTGAATAGAGCTCTGTGATTGAAAGAAAGAAAGAAAAATGGTTTATTTGGTTCAAACAAACGTTTTACACAATTTAAATTACATACATAATTTATTGAACCAACCACTGTGAGACCTCATAGTAATGTTTGTGAATTCGAGCGTAAATATGGGAGCGGTATGGGAGGGGTGATTTTGACATATTATGACGTAACAGAGCATGTACAAGTCTGAAGAACATCTGAAATCAAACACCCATCCGCGCCGCTCCTATACCTCATGCAGACTGAGTTAACCGCCTCTGTGGTCTAGTGGTAAGACCACCTGCTTCAGACGCAGAGGTCCCGGGTTCGATTCCCAGTGGGGGCAGATTTTTCTGTTCGGTTTGGTTGGTGGTAGGGCTTGTTCTAAGTCCGCCTGGCTAGCTATACCTTGATTTTTTAGAATCCAGCAGAGATGTAAACAAACACTTTGATACACAATTACACCATAATCACTTACGTGTTCATAATATCATACNGACACTGCTGCTATTACTCAAACTCATAACGTTGCCCGCGTTATTGCCGTCGTTATTATCGATAACGGTATCGAATACGTTATTGTTGCTGGATTCGCCGATCAAACGCACCGGGCCTCCGGTAGCGACGTCCAAAATACCTATAACGTTACTCGCTGCGACGTCCGCGTCTATAACTATTCTGTCGGAAATACCGTTATTGCCGGTATTGGAAATACCGTTATTACCGTTACTGGAAATACCGTTATTGCTTGTGCTGAGCTCGTCGTAGCCCGGCGGCATTTCGACGTTGCTTCTGGCTTCTTCATCGACGCTGTTGGTTCTGTGCAGTCGATCTCTGCTTAAATATTCTGGAGGCGGCCCGTATAGCTTGTACCTTCAACAATAGGATGTTTTAATTAATATTTTCATTCGTTAATCATGCAGAATATCGATTTAGATCTTCATCAGGTCATTTATAGGTAAAGTGCTTAACTTAGCGCCTGAGGTAGAGGGTTTTAAATAAATAAATATCCTTAGACATTTTTTACACTACGCTTCTAGTCCCAAACTAAGCAAAGCTTGTACTATGGGTACTAGACAACGGATATAAACATACTTAAATACTTTTTTTTTGTATACTGGGACGTGTAAAAGTGTAATTTAAACTTAAAATAAGTTAAGCCTATTTACAGAAATAAATGAGTTTTTTAATGTAAATACATAAATATTATACATAGTAACACCCAGACCCGTCACAGAAATTAAAATTCATCATAATTTCTGCCCGGCCGGGAATCGAACCCGGGACCTCTCGGTATAGTCCGTTCCGAACTACACCAAACGGCCGACAACCGGTGTTGTGACAGTCAGACGTCAGCGTGACTTCAGATTTGTATGCTGTCACGTCATAACATGTCAATGTCACCCGTCCCATGCCACTCCTATATCTCAGACACTGACTCATATTACGGCACTATAGATATAGATCTGTCAGTGTCTAACGCCCGTATTTACAAACGATGCTTGCTTAAGTGAAGCAGCAAATCGAACGCACAGCGTTGAATAGAGCTCTGTGATTGAAAGAAAGAAAGAAAAATGGTTTATTTGGTTCAAACAAACGTTTTACACAATTTAAATTACATACATAATTTATTGAACCAACCACTGTGAGACCTCATAGTAATGTTTGTGAATTCGAGCGTAAATATGGGAGCGGTATGGGAGGGGTGATTTTGACATATTATGACGTAACAGAGCATGTACAAGTCTGAAGAACATCTGAAATCAAACACCCATCCGCGCCGCTCCTATACCTCATGCAGACTGAGTTAACCGCCTCTGTGGTCTAGTGGTAAGACCACCTGCTTCAGACGCAGAGGTCCCGGGTTCGATTCCCAGTGGGGGCAGATTTTTCTGTTCGGTTTGGTTGGTGGTAGGGCTTGTTCTAAGTCCGCCTGGCTAGCTATACCTTGATTTTTTAGAATCCAGCAGAGATGTAAACAAACACTTTGATACACAATTACACCATAATCACTTACGTGTTCATAATATCATACACATTATTTAACAAGCCCATGAAACCAACTTTATTTTCACGTTTATACAAGTTTGAAATCAATCTTTGAAACAAATTATTTTAGCAAAATACGTGGACGATGAAAATTTGTGAGACTTGTCACATTGACTTGACGTTTAAAATCATGTGTTATCTCCATATTGTCTACTAGCTTTCCGCCCGCGGCTTCGCCCGCGTGGAATTTTGTCTGTCACAGAAAAATTTTATCGCGCGCGTCCCTGTTTCAAAAACCGGGATAAAAACTATCCTATGTTCTTTCCCGGGACTCAAACTATCTCTATGCCAAATTTCATCAAAATCGGTTGCGAGGTTTAAGCGGGAAAGCGTAACAGACAGACAGACAGACAGACAGACAGACAGACAGACAGACAGACAGACAGACAGACAGAGTTACTTTCGCATTTATAATATTAGTTGGGATGACTTGTCTCTGATACATCAGTGCTGCAACCTGTGAGTCATAGACAATAATCAGTAAATTTAATCGATATTATTTTAAGTATTCACTTATTCCGATGACTGATTAATTTTAAACAAAAAATATACGATACTTTGTTTAGTTTTCCAGCGATAACTTCGACAATATTGGAGATAGCGTAAAATTATTTTTCTACTTTTAGTGTATACTTTTTCGGAGTCAGTTTCATTTTTAGTCGGTTTTATTTAAACGAAATTATTTTACTTTTTTATTAACCGACTTCAAAAAAGGAGGAGGTTATATGTTCGACTGTATGTATGTTTTTTTTTTTTTCTATGTATGTTCACCGATTACTCCGTCAATTGTGGACCGATTTNAATTGGGACGTATTTGAGTATTCACAACGCGAGCGTTTATAACATATCTGCTTTTGTTTTTATATAATATCATTGCAACCAATGAAGGTCAAGTTTGTCCATTTCTACATAGGTATTGTAGGCTACAATCTAGCCACTAGATTACAATTAAATTTTTTAAACTGTTTCATTCAACTTGCCCTGTTTATTTATTTGTGTTTTGTCCGTCAGACAGGTAAAAACATTGGACATAATTTTCATTTTTATCTTATCCAAATAATTACAGTGCCACATTGAGTTGAAATGTTGCGTGACGTCACTATTGTCTAAGATTTTAATAAAGGACTTTATTTATTTATTTATTTTATTTATTTTTAGTGACGTCAGACATGTGTCTGACGGACTAAATAGAATTTATATTTCATTACCGAAGGAATGATAAAATATCTGTTTCATTAGCGAGGAATCCCTATTGTAGGAGTGAAAAGGTTTCACAAAATTATATTTGTAGCATGCACGATTTGTACGAAATAGCATTCCATTACGTTCTTTTAAAGATACGATTAGTTAAATAGTTTGTGTAAGGCACTACAATCAACTTTTCGCCATTCTTCGCACCGTGGCTTGGGTAAATAAGACATACATTTGTATGGTGTTTTACACCAGTGTTTGTCAAACTTTTTTGTGAAACCCTCCTAAAATAATAAGCTGTAGACTGAGGAACGTGGCTAGGGTCATACCCCTTCTAAACCTATAGCAATATCTTTTGTCCCAAGCAGGATTTAAACTCGGCCAACCACCATGCATAGTATGGATGGTGGTTGGTATATCAAAAGCCAAGTATAGCTCGCGTAACAAAAGTTGAGGCGAACACTGCTACTCACACTGACGTATCAAATATCGAATGTTCTATCTCGCTCTTGCTATATTTGTGCGAGCGAGACAGAAAACACTTGTCGGTCAGACTATGCAGACGTCAGCGTATACAGATTCATAAACACAAACGAATCTTTGCCAATGTTGATAGCCTCAATTTTCACTGCGCGAACTATAAAAGTACTTCGTGGAAAATAAATATTCTTTTTAAATAATACCCAAGCCACGCCACTAAGAAGCGCATTCAACAAGCGACTCCTTCGGAGCTATCGTTGGCGTTGACGTCACAATCGATCGCCGGCAAATTGTCGATGACCGACTTCAACGTTTCTACCGTTTCATTCCCGTTACTCTCCGTTAACTCCGTACCGTTACCGGTAACGTACCTGCCGTTACTGGTATCGTTATCGTTGAGTTTTGATTCTGAATCACTCCTGTCACTTGTGTTATTATTTAAATTTATCCTTGAAGCAATACAAGTTGCATTTTCTTCAATAGGCGACATGTTGACACTGCNAACACTGCTGCTGTTACTCAAACTCATAACGTTGCCCGCGTTATTACCGTCGTTATTATCGATAACGGTATCGAATACGTTATTGTTGCTGGATTCGCCGATCAAACACACCGGGCCTCCGGTAGCGACGTCCAAAACACCTATAACGTTACTCGCTGCGACGTCCGCGTCTATGACTATTCTGTCTGAAATACCGGTATTACCGGTATTGGAAATACCGTTATTACCGTTACTGGAAATACCGTTATTGCTTGTGCTGAGTTCCTCGTAGCCCGGCGGCATTTCGACGTTGCTTCTGGCTTCTTCGTCGACACTGTTGGTTCTGTGCAGTCGGTCTCTGCTTAAGTACTCGGGAGGCGGCCCGTATAGCTTGTACCTTCAACAATAGGATGTTTTAATTAATATTTTCATTCATTAAAATAAATAATAAACTCATAAAACTCGTTTCATTATTGCAAGTAGGCTTTTAAAAAGCACTTTTATACGTCCAAGTATTAACCCTACCACTGCTTCGGGACAATAAATGGGCCAGTGCTCAGAAGAAACAGCGCAAGAAACTCACGTCACATTAATCAAGCATAATATTTATTTAGATCTTCATTAGGTCATTTATAGGTCGAGCGCTTAACTGAGTGCCTGATATATGGGAGCGGCACGGGAGGGCGTTTTTGTAACGGTCAAACGTCAGCGACACTTCAGATTTGTATGCTCACGTCACATGTCAATGTGACCCGTCCTGTGCCACTCTAATATCTCAGGCACTGACTCAGTTATGCACAATAGGTCGCGCTTAACTCAGTCAGTGTCTAAGTATGGGAGCGGTAAGGGAGGGTGATTTTGACATATTATGACGTGACAGAGCATGTACAAGTTTGAAGAAATCTCGCTGACGTTTGACGTTAAATAAACACGCGTGCTCTTCGAGTTTCAATAATGAAAATACCGCTGTTTTTTTTTATCCACAACGAGGAAGCTCTTAGCCTGTATCTCACCTGATGGTAAGTGATGTTCAGGCCGAAGGTGGAAGCGAGCTTCACCCGGAACCCTCAACCACAGAGGAACTGGCTATCTTACCTCTAACTGCCGGAGCACAACAATGCTGTTAACATTGTTGTTATGGCGACAGACTTAGGTAAGATGGTGGTAGCTAGCCAGGCGGACTTGGAACAAGCCCTACCACCAATCAAACCGAACAGAAAATTCTGCCCCCACTGGGAATCGATCCCGGGACCTCTGCGTCTGAAGCAGGTGGTGTAACCACTAGACCACAGAGGCTAATAGTAGTGTTTCTTACCTCATAGCCTCATTATAAGGCGGTGGCCGTGCGGCAGTCGGGTAATCTTGAAAATCAGCGCCCAGCAATCTAATCGTCCGTCCGNGATACTTTTGGAGTCGGTGCAGGCAAACTTCACACGTTTCATAATCTTGGCACCGACTCCAAAAGTATCAATCATGGTATACATAAATATTAATTCGTCCTAATAAATATGTAATTAGTAATTATTTTTCTACTTTTTAGTGTATGTTTTTTGGAGTCGGTTTTATTTTTTTTTATGCAATTATGCTTACGTATTGTTCCATTGCTTATTTTAATATATAAGTAAATAAAATAAAAGAAAATAAAAATCTTACATTACCTCCCTAGCGGAATAGAGCAACAAATAACTGAGCGAGCGAGATGTCACTAGTAGCAACACTGTCAAACAGAACTTTTTGCAACTATTTGAAGTTTAATAACTTTACGGATATCATTGATGGTTTTACTGTCCAGTGTGTTTTTTGATTACATCTGTGCATACAGTTTGTTTCCCGTTCTCGAAAATTTCATAATCAGTTTACATTCCATGTTGCGACTTTGTTGCATATTTTTAGTATTGTGACGATCACCCGGCGATGATACGCAAGTGGTACTACAATAATTTCACTTCGCGATTAACGAGAGGTTTTGTCGCATCACTAGTTCACAGACTAAAAATATTTTTATGTCAGTTGGCCATTTTTGATGACATTTCTGCTGATTTCTAAAAAAATAGACTGTACCACCATCTTACCTAAGCCTGTCGCCATAACAACAATGTTAACAGCATTGTTGTGTTCCGGCAGTTAGAGGTAAGATAGCCAGTTCCTCCGTGGTTGAGGATTCCGGGTGAAGCTCGCTTCCACCTTCGGCCTGATCGTCACTTACCATCAGGTGAGGTACAGGCCAAGAGCTTCCTCGTTGTGTATAAAAAAAAAACATATAGACTGTAGTGTTTCTTACCTCATAGCCTCATTATAAGGCGGAGGCCGAGCGGCAGTCGGGTAATCTTGAAAATCAGCGCCCAACAATCTAATCGTCCGTCCGTTAAGCGTATAGGTGTCGCTAGCGTTGAGCCGAACGAAGTCCAAGTCATCTATGTTGATTTCGGCCACATTCGGCGTGTCCGGCCGCGTTTCGGCCCGCCCGAACCGCGGGATGCTGAGTTGGAACCGCCCTAGTTGGAGCGTGAGTCTGTGAATAATAAGTGAAGTTATTGTGTGAACGATTACAGATTGACAGTGGTGGATTGGTCAGCTAGTAATTTTGATACAGGACGCATGGATTATTTGGATTTCGCCTACTATTTTGTCAGCTAATAATAACTTAGTAAGATTTTTATTTTGTGAACACATGTGACAGACTTTGACAGCTAATAGTCATTTAATCAGCAAATGTCAATAATTTTGTCAGCTGATGCCTGTTGTTCTATCAGCCCGTTGATTACTTTCTAAGCTGACTTCTTTAATTACGTCAGCTAACTTCAATCATCTAGACAGATAATATCATTGGGTGAGCTACCACCTGTCGTTTTATCTATGACCACCTGTAGTTAGGTCAGCTATCTTCTGCTTGCTACCTTCTACCACACCATCGGCTACCTCCTGTCCTGATATCTCCTGTTACTTCGTCAGCTACCTTCTGGCATTTTATCAGCTACCTTCTCTCATTCCATAAACTGCATCCTACTACTTCCTAATCAACTGTCTCCTGACAAATCGTCAACTGTCTCCGATCACATCGTCAGTTGCCTCCTGTCATTACGTCAGCTACCTCCTAACCTAACACTTACTCGAATGCCTCCTGTCCCTTCATCAGTTGTCTCCTGTCACTTCATCAACTACCTCCTGTCATTTGGTCAGCTACCTCCTGTCACTTCGTCAGCTGTCTCCTATCAATTTGTCAGCTGCCTCCTGTCACTTTGTCAGCTACCACCATTGTCAGNTGTCATTTTGTCAGATTCTATCTAACCTTTCATTTCACCTATCGTTTTGTCAGTTACTTCCTGTCATTTGTATCTGTTGTTTCGTCAACTACAAAGCGCCCTCACCTGTGCCTGTCTGGATGCTCGTGCGTCGCGTTGAGATGCGGCGCGCCCTCGCACGGCGGGCCGCCGGCCGGGCTGCGGTATTCTAAGCGGGACGGCGAACTGGTGGCTGTTGATGTGACCGCCGTCATCTCTACAGATAGTACTTGCTATATGGTCAGTTGTACAGTCACGGAATGAAAAGGTTCGTCAGTTTTCAAATTGATTCCTTCAACGAATCGCGAGCACATATTACCTTTTGAAACTATGTTACAGAATAATCTCGAGTTAGAAAATAAATCTTTAACTGTTCGTCAGTAAAGTTCAAAATTATTCAGATCAAAGTTGTTTGACGTTTTATTTTGTCAAGAGATTATTGTGATTGATAAACTAAAACCTTCTTGTTGGTTCAACCTGCCATTATTATTTATATTAAATAAAAAAAAACTATTGTCAATTGGTCAATGTCATCATTGCATTGCACTGATGGGATAGAAAAATAAACAAGCAAAACCTTATTCGTTAGCAAACGTCGTATTTATTTAAATGTTAGCAGCACTGTTTCGTGCACTGTTATGTTGGCAGGTTTGACTCTTACAATACCTAGTGCAAGCGAAAACCGACACTAAGGTGACGAACCTTTTCATTCCGCGACTGTAATTTCTATTTCGTCAACTGGCTCCTTTAACTTGCTGTCTTCTGTCACATTGTCAGCTGTCTTTTGTCACTTACTGAGCTGTCTCCTGTCACTTCGTCAGCTGTCTCCTGACAAGTCGTCAGCTGTCTCCGGTCACATCGTCAGTTGCCTCCTGACACTTTGTCAGCTGTCTCCTGTCACTTTGTCAGCTATCTCCTGTTACTTAGTCAGTTACCTCCTATGACTTCATCAGCTACCTCCTGTCAATTGGTCAGCTAGCACCTGCTGTTTCGTCAGCTACATTAGTTATCTCCTGCCACTCCGTCAGCAAGTGTACCTCACCTGTGCCTATCTGGATGCTCATGAGATGCATTGAGATGCGGCGCGCCCTCGCACGGCGGGCCGCCGGCCGGGCTGCGGTATTCTAAGCGGGAAGGTGAACTGGTGGCTGTTGACGTGACCGCCGTCATCTCTACTTCCGTGCACTGGGTTGGGACCTGGATATGATAATGGACGTTATAAGGGCTACTACCTTTTCTTTTTTTTATTTTCTATAATAATATTTTTACGTTCATAAGTGCCACTTGTGGTCTAAACTGAATAAATATTTTTGATTTTGATTTTTGATTTTGAGTGTAATAGAGTAGATAATAGGCTGTGATATTCCAGCACTGTTACCACCTTCATCTCTCACCTCTCCTCTGATGTTTTGCCATTATCTTGCAGGGCGTCACATGTATAATGTACAAGCTTTTGCCCGCGGCTTCACCCGCGTGAAATTTAGTTTGTCACAGATCGTCATAAATTATAGCCTATATGTTATTCAGGGTTATAAACAATAATACTGTTATGTTACATCAAAATCCGTTCAGTAGTTTTTGCGTGAAAGAGCAACAAACATCCAGACATCCAAACTTTCGCATTTATAATGTTGAGGCCAATCACTAAAGTCTCAGTGCCGAAACTTCGCGCAGAAAAAGGAACATCACTATTGTCTATTCACTACTCTATTATTGTCTATGAAAACACTTCAATTTACGAAACCCAACGTTCTTCTGTACAAATTTTTATAACTCCAATTAAATAGATGAAAATCAAGAAAGTTAGTTTCAATACTACATATTACACAAACAATAATATCAGTAAGATGAAATGAACTTAAAATAACTACGGCACGGACCTGACTGTTGGTACCTGGATTTATGACATTGGACTTTATTGAGAACGCAATAGAGTAGAAAATGGGGTGGCTGAGATACTCCAATACTGTATCAGATCCTGGGTCACATGATAAAAGACTTTATTGGGAATAGAATAGAGAATGGGCTGCGGTACTTCAGGCGGGAGAGTGAATTAGTGGCTGTTGATGTGATTGCTGTCATCTCTACTTCCGTGCACTGGGTTGGGACCTGGATATGATAATGGACTTTATAAGGGCTACTACCTTTTCTTTTTTTATTATTTTCTATAATAATATTTTTACGTTCATAAGTGCCACTTGTGGTCTAAACTGAATAAATATTTTTGATTTTTGATTTTGAGTGTAATAGAGTAGATAATAGGCTGTGATATTCCAGCACTGTTACCACCTTCATCTCTCACCTCTCCTCTGATGTTTTGCCATTATCTTGCAGGGCGTCACATGTATAATGTATAAGCTTTTGCCCGCGGCTTCACCCGCGTGAAATTTAGTTTGTCACAAATCGTCATAAATTATAGCCTATATGTTAATCTGGGTTATAAACAATAATACTGTAAAGTTTCATCAAAATCCGTTCAGTAATTTTTGCGTGAAAGAGTAACAAACATCCAGACACCTAAACTTTCGCATTTATAATATTAGTAGGATTGCACCATGTTGGTAAATGGTACTACCCGTAATGGTAGACCGGTAATATCGGCCCTGTAGGGCGTTGCAAAGATAATGAATATCATATCACCGACCTGCCTGTACCGGGAAGTGAATACGGACGTGAGGGCGGCCAGTCGCGGCCGCCGCTCGCTGTTGGTCGGGCTCGCAGACCGCGTCGACAGCCCGCACTGGGAAACACAGATATTATAATAACATTACCCTTCTGTTACGCTGTCAGGTAAAGAAGAATATGATTAAAAAATAAACATAAATATCTTTGGACAACTTCACACAGCGCCATCTAGATTATAGCCCCAAAGTAAGTCACAGAAATTAAAATTCTTCATGTCAATTTCTGCCAGGCCGGGAATCGAACCCGGGACCTCTCGGCATAGTAGTCCGATTTGAACCACTACACCAAACGGCCGACAGTATAACATTAGAAATAAACAATATATTTCACCATATACAAATTATTTTGGTTATTTTGGGTATTCTTTAAGAGCGAACGAAATCAGTTGTGTTGGGTGCTGTCTATGTAAGCATTACCATCACCACATGAACAGCACACGATACAGCTATTATGGACTGAAAAACACCGTTCGGTATACATACTATCGTGTATAATAAATCGAGTTTATAAATATTTTGTTCGATAGTCATAATTGGCCTACAAAATCTTACAAAAACATTATTATAACCTCAAATGATATTGTTCTGTGTACTATACTTAAATAAATAAAAATAATATTTTGCACCGCCTACTTTAATTCTCTGTTTTGTCTAATTTTCTGGTTACCTGGAAGATAATGCCACATGGAATTAAGCTCGCCTGTTGTACCACTGTTTTTTGTGTGTGCAATAAAGATTTTAAATAAATAAATAAATAATATACCTGCGTATCTCGATGCTGAGGGCTCGGCAGCGGTGAGCGTTCTAGCAGCCCCGCATCGTAGCATGGCGGGAAGCGGTGTCGCTGGAATAAATATGTTATCAATGATTATTCTTTCTTACATTTAAGCTTTTAGCGGAAATTGATGCCACCATATTTTAAATATTGGCGACACAAAGTAAGGTTCGAAGTCAGTGAACAATATGTTTCTTGATATCAGTTGAAGGATTAAGTCAGTTATTCAGTTTACTTCACAGGCTATAAGTAAAAGACAATTTAAGTTCATCTGATCAAATAACGCAAGCGGCTGGGTTGAGGTAAGGGTTATTGTTAATATAGATATTTATTTACATCACCATAATGTAACATAGGGTAGAGAATGTAATGCATTAAATAGCTGACAGAGTAGCAGGACAAAAACGACTGACATTTGCTTTGGAAGGAACTAGGGTATACAATGGTAGGTGGTAGCTGACGAAGTGACAGGATGTTGCTAATGAAGTGATAGATAGTAACTGACAAAGTGGCAGGAGGTGGCTGACTAAATAGCAGGGGGTAGCTGATGATACAACGACGAAACAACGGATTATAGCTGCACAAATGACAGGAGGTAGCTGATGTACAGGCAGTAGATAGCTACCAAATGATAAGTTGGTAACTGATGAAGTGACAGGAGGTAATCTGACTAAATAGCAAGACGTTACTGATGAAATGATACATGGTGATGTAATGGTAATGTAGCTAACCATATAACAGAAGGTAACTGACCATATGGCAGGCATTATCTGATAAGATGACAGCAGTGACATTTTGCTACATTTTTCTGCTGCTGGTGGAGCCTTTATAGTCTAAAACCTTCATCAATAAATGGGCTATCCAACACAAAAATATTTCTTCAAATCGGAGCAGTAAATTCCTGAGATTAGCGCGTTCAAACAAACATACTCTTCGGCTTTAATATTATAGTTAGTAAGTAAGTAAGTATAGATTTTCTTACCTGTGCAATCGCGTGTTCCCTGGCCAGCCGGTCGGCGCGAGCATAGCTTCGCAACGCGGCTCGCTTCATGTGCATCTTGCAGACGGCGGATACCAGCAGAACCACCGCGATCATGAAGATTAGCGCGCACGCTGTAACAGGGCACGTCAAGCTTTACTATTTTATAGACCTGTGTTAGAGAAGGCATTCATATGTGACGACGATTTTTCTTGTCATCGTCACAGAAGTTATAGTCAAACGATTCTGAAACTTCAAGTGGCAAAAGTTAATTATTAATCCAATATTGATCGAAGCACCCTCCTGTAAATAACATACATAATTAAAAATCTGTAACGTCACCTTTTCTTATTACTATGTCATAGAATTCATATCATAATATTATGACGTCTATATTATTAGTTTCAATTTTTGCCACTTACATAATTTCAGAATCGTTGCAATAAAATTTTACTGTCACTCCACTCATAGAAGTCATAGCAGCATATCGTCGATACTTCAATGTATGTAGTTACATATTTGATTTGATTTGATTGATATACGAACCGGTGACGGTGTAGATGGTGGACTGTATGAAGCCGTAGTCGTCGGACGCGTGCCGGTCGTCGTACAGCGACGGCGGCTCCAGGTCGAACACTGCGCCTGTGGACGTGGAGTGGTTTACTTGTCGATTTGGAAACGCTTGTATAAACCTTCTATGAAACTTTTTGTGTTATTTGCCAATAGATGTCACTGTATTTTGACATGCGAAAAGCTGTACCGCGGTATCCAGATATTTTCCCTTGCTCTATAAACTCTGGAGGATTTTGTCATTATTGACATAATTAACCTTTGACATCTGTGACAACCTTTGAGAAACATTGACAATCTTTGTCAAGCAATAAATTGTCACCCACATACTGACGTCTTATTTAAACCTAAATAGGAGTCCCATAAGTGCACCGAGGTTTCCGTGGTTTATTCAATGTCTCAGTTTATTTATTTATTTAAGACGTACAAAACAGATTACAGCCAAAATACGATTTATAAATTTTAATACAGTACGATTATATGGACTAGGTTGTTACCCTTAGTATGTACATACTACATCAAAAAACTAACCAGTTGCACCACCTTAACTATAATTGGTGTTTTTGTATGAAGTTTGATAGACTTTTAACGTTTTTTATATTCAAAGTAAGATGGTGAAACCAAGGGTAAGAAAGAACAAAACTATTTAAACAATTTTAGTTAGGTTGGGTAGACTAATGTTTCTAGCGTTGTGTGATTGCGTTAAGATAACGCACTCATGCATAAGAACGTGAATACATTGAAGGGTATTTTCTGTATGTTAAGAGTCTATCAATATTAGTGTATACAGGCTGTCCTAAAAACCGGAGGCAGCTTAGCTTAAGACGCATAAAACAAGTGTAATATGTCCATTATGAAAAATAACTAAAATTGGTAATATTAGACTCTTTTGGTCCAGCTACCTCCAGGTAACGTGCTAGTTAGAACATTCTGTATGTAATACATTTGCCAATGTAAGTGTCTATGTAATGTGTGTAGCGTTGTGTGATAGCGTTAAGACAACACCAATACCGACCGTGGAACCGCGGGTGCTCGTCGCAGCAGGAGGGCTGGCGGCACAGCGCGGAGGGCGCGCGGCAACACGCCGCCGCCGGGATGCAGCGCCCGCTCGAACAGTTCAGGCGCTCCGAGCCTGGGGAAAGATGTACCAGATGGTTAAGATATAGATCAGAGGTGGAATTGTGTAAAGCAATCGTTATCATTTGACAGTTCATATCGTACGATTATTCTGTCAAACGCTTTGTTTAACTGACTTTATCGTACGTTATGAACTGTCAAATGATTACGATTGCTTTACACAATTCCACCTCTGGGCACCGATTGCGCTAATTTGTAATGTCTCAATGTAATGACTCCAGTCTCACTGATGTGCAATTCGGCATTGCGGTAAAGTTCACGCGTAAGCAACAGATTTACACACTTAATTTTTCAATAAAAACACAGTAAATGTTCGTGAAGCTTTTGACTTGCGTTTGAGAAAAAGTAGCTTTCTATCAGTAAAGTTCACGCGTAAGCAACAGATTTACACACTTAATTTTTCACTAAAACACAGTAAATGTTCGTGAAGCTTTTGACTTGCGTTTGAGAAAAAGTAGCTTTCTATCAGTTTTACACCAAAATGCAGTTGCATTCCGTACACGTTACAACTTCGTTTGAACTAGTTGTCAAAGCGACACCGCCATACGAATTTGTGGAAACAGCTGATTTTCGTTTGTCGTCCAGTTGCTTTGCAGTTGAAAAATATTTAGCGCAATCGGGGCACTGGGGGTTATACAGACACTGCGCCAGGTTAGAGCGGTTTTGCACTACGTCCGGCCAGATCCGTTTCGAATTAGTCAAAGTAAGGCTTTTTATGAATAGAGTTTATTTAAATTTATCCTTGAGTAGAAAATGAGCACGGGTCGACTCTACGACTACACTCTTGTTAAAGGATTCGGATTTCTGTTTTGTCTTACCATAGGGGCCATTTAAAAATTAGGAATTGATGGTGAAAACGGTCATTAGATCCATAAAAATAACTTGTATTTTTTCAGTGTACCGTTAGACGATAGCGTTAAAACAATCCACTCACGCGCACACGGCTGCTCGCCGCACAGCATGGGCGCCTCGTCCTCGCCGTGCGCGCAGTCGCGGCGTCCGTCACAAACGTACATAGCGAGCACGCAGCGCGCGCCGCACGCGAATGCTCCGTGCGCGCACGTGTTTGCGCCCGCGTCTGTAAGAGGAAACATTTGTGTTACAACAATACCCGGCGATAAATATTGCACATCGACCTTTAGAAAGAGACAATCGGCTAATTTCAGTTTCGTAGAGCGTTATCACTGTCGCACTTGAACAACGACTGACAATGACGTTTTGTCAAAGTGTAAACAAACTTTAATTTAAATGTGTGAAATTGATTTTGTGAATTAAATTGCTAAAAACTTTAAATAGTCGTGAAAGAAAAGTGGTTCACAATGTGTTAAAGTATTTGTCGAAGAGAAATACTAAGGATTCGGACAATATTTTCATTGAATAATGTTTTGTCAATGACGTTTTGTCAATCGTATAGGTAGTGTGCGACAGAGATAACGCTCTACGAGCCGAAATTAACCGATTCTCTTTCCGAAGGTCGATGTGCAATATTTAATGCCGGGTACTGTATACAGGATGTCGTTTTAGGTATGGATCACAAAAAGAATTTATTCTCGGGCTCAAATCCAGTAACTTTCTTCAAGATTAAAAGTTCAAATCTTACAAAATAAGGCCTAAAGGTGTCTAAAGCCTTATACGCTACTATTCAAGTGCCTGTATACAACCAGAAGTGACGTAGCCTGCTGTAAGTAACCTGAGGCAGTGACGCAGCTTGCTGTATACAACCTGAGCTGTAATGTAACCTGTTGGATACAGCCTGAAACTAGTAGCCTGCTGTAGACAACCTGAGGCAGTGAGTGATGTGGCCTGCTGTATACAGCACGAGCTGCTGTTGCCTGCTGTATACAAGCTGTACTCACGGGGCGGCGCGGAGCAGTGGAAATTATGCAGTGGCCTGCTGTATACAGCCCGAGGTGCAGTGGCCTGCTATACAGGGTGTTAGGTAAACATTAAAATGATGATATAACTTTTTTGACTTCACCATACCATTTATATGCATGTTAACATGGGCTAGTGTCGGCTCATATACCCATTTACCTAACACCCTGTATACACTCGAGCTGCTGTATACACGCGAGCTGCTGTATACACGCGAGCTGCTGTATACACGCGAGCTGCTGTATACACGCGAGCTGCTGTATACACGCGAGCTGCTGTATACACGCGAGCTGCTGTATACACGCGAGCTGCTGTATACACGCGAGCTGCTGTATACACGCGAGCTGCTGTATACACGCGAGCTGCTGTATACACGCGAGCTGTATACACGGTACTCACGCGGCGGCTGGACCAGCACGTGCTTGGCGCGGCTGGCGGGCGGCGCGGAGCAGACGACGCGGCCGCTGTCGCGCGGGCTCAGCTCCAGCTTCACCAGCTGGCTGCCGGTGCTGTTCGAGGTTATGGTGTACGGCCTGCGGATGTAAACAAGGGTTCGTATTAAAGCCTGGTCCGTGAGCACGTAGAATTTTGTCCAATATTGCTGCACCCGCAGTGAGTGTGCGAGCGCGACAGCAACATAATTACGCGCGAGCGATAAGGATGGGTAGCTTGGGGTCATTGGACAAAATTCTACGTGCTCACGGACCATGCTTTAGCAGAGTAAATACAAATGTGTAGGTCATCTCCATAGAAACGCACCGAGCGCGGTTTGTATGTAAGCGCGCCAATACATATGCGGCGCGCACGCAAACATTGACAAAATTCGGCGCAACTCCCAATAATCCACGCTAAATTACGCGCGCTCACATACAGGGTGGAAACGATAAGTGATCTCATTCGATTATTTCTAAACTATACAAGATATCGAAAAACTGGTTACTGATCCTGAAAGTGCTTCACGAGCTCTTTCAAACGGTACCAATAATAGGTTACACAATAAACTGGAACTATTCGAAAATTCCTGAAGACTGGAGTGTATAACCAATGTGTGTTACCAGTGATAACTTACGGCTCGGAAACGNTTATGTTTGTTATGTTCTTTTTTTCTGATTATATTTTTTTGTTCCTTACTCTATGTAAGTTAAACCTAATACCTATTTTCATGAACTTTCCTATTTTAAAAATGACAATATAAAAAACATTTATAACAAAATGTTTACGTAAGCATAGGGGGAGGGGGTAAGTACTTTGCTTACTTTTGATGACAAGGGGGGCGGGGGGGTAAAAAATGGTAAGAAATCTGCTTACGTAATACTTGAACGGCCCCCCGGGACCTCTCGGCATATTAGTCCGTTTCGAACCACTACACCAAACGGCGACAGTATAACATTACAAATAAACAATATATTGCACCATATACAAATTATTTTGGTTGTGTTGGGTATTCTTTATATGTGAACGAAATCGGTTGTGCTGGATGCTGTTTATGTAAGAATTACCATCACCACATGGACAGCACACGATACAGCTATTATGGACTGAAAAACACCGTTCGGTATACATACTATCGTGTATAATAAATCGAGTTTATAAATATTTTGTTCGATAGTCATAATTGGCCTACAAAATCTTACAAAAACATTATTATAACCTCAAATGATATTGTTCTATGTACTATACTTAAATAAATAAAAATAATATTTTGCACCACCTACTTTAATTCTCTGTTTTGTCTAATTTTCTGGTTAGCTGGAAGATAATGCCACATGGAATTAAGCTCGCCTGTTGTACCACTGTTTTTTGTGTGTGCAATAAAGATTTTAAATAAATAAATAAATAATATACCTGCGTATCTCGATGCTGAGGGCTCGGCAGCGGTGAGCGTTCTAGCAGCCCCGCATCGTAGCATGGCGGGAAGCGGTGTCGCTGGAATAAATATGTTATCAATGATTATTCTTTCTTACATTTAAGCTTTTAGCGGAAATTGATGCCACCATATTTTAAATATTGGCGACACAAAGTAAGGTTCGAAGTCAGTGAACAATATGTTTCTTGATATCAGTTGAAGGATTAAGTCAGTTAATCAGTTTACTTCACAGGCTATAAGTAAAAGACAATTTAAGTTCATCTGATGAAATAACGCAAGCGGCTGGGTTGAGGTAGGGGTTATTGTAAATATAGATATTTATTTACATCACCATAATGTAACATAGGGTAGAGTATGTAATGCATTAAATAGCTGACAGAATAGCAGGACAAACGACTGATATTTGCTTTGGAAGGAACTAGGGTATACAATGGCAGGTGGTAGCTGACGAAGTGGCAGGATGTTGCTAATGAAGTGGTAGATAGTAACTGACAAAGTGGCAGGAGGTGGCTGACTAAATAGCAGGGGGTAGCTGATGATACAACGACGAAACAACGGATTATAGCTGTACAAATGACAGGAGGTAGCTGATGTACAGGCAGTAGATAGCTACCAAATGATAAGTTGGTAACTGATGAAGTGACAGGAGGTAATCTGACTAAATAGCAAGACGTTACTGATGAAATGATACATGGTGATGTAATGGTAATGTAGCTAACCATATAACAAAAGGTAACTGACCATATGGCAGGCATTATCTGATAAGATGACAGCAGTGACATTTTGCTACATTTTTCTGCTGCTGGTGGAGCCTTTATAGTCTAAAACCTTCATCGATAAATGGGCTATCCAACACAAAAATATTTCTTCAAATCGGACCAGTAAATTCCTGAGATTAGCGCGTTCAAACAAACATACTCTTCGGCTTTAATATTATAGTTAGTAAGTAAGTAAGTATAGATTTTCTTACCTGTGCAATCGCGTGTTCCCTGGCCAGCCGGTCGGCGCGAGCATAGCTTCGCAACGCGGCTCGCTTCATGTGCATCTTGCAGACGGCGGACACCAGTAACACAACTGCTATCATGAAGATTAACGCGCACGCTGCAAAGAAGGCACGTCAAGCTTTACTATTTTATAGACCTGTGTTAGAGAAGGCATTCATATGTGACGACGATATTTCATGTCATTGTCACAGAAGTTATAGTCAAACGATTCTGAAACTTCAAGTGGCAAAAGTTAATTATTAATCCAATATTGATCGAAGCACCCTCCTGTAAATAACATAATTAAAAATCTGTAACGTCACCTTTTCTTATTACTATGTCAAAGAATTCATATCATAATATTATGACGTCTATATTATTAGTTTCGATTTTTGCCACTTACGTTTCAGAATCGTTGCAATAAAATTTTACTGTCTCACACCACTCATAGAAGTCATAGCAGCATATCGTCGATACTTCAATGTATGTAGTTATTTGATTTGATTTGATTGATATACGTACCGGTGACGGTGTAGATGGTGGACTGTATGAAGCCGTAGTCGTCGGACGCGTGCCGGTCGTCGTACAGCGACGGCGGCTCCAGGTCGAACACTGCACCTGTGGACAACGTATAACATTCTAGTTATTGCGTTGTGAGTTCAAGCAGGCCTGTTCATCTCCGCGAGTTTACATTGAAAACAAAACACGCACGATGGCCCACCTACAGGATACTATTCCACAAGGCCTCACATACGAGCGAACATTGATTCACGCACGCGTATTCTTGTGTATGATGGAAGAAAATAAAGAAAATGATGTACTAAATACTGTGCAGTATTTAACTGCCTAAATAATAATAAAAACACAGAATTTACTTTTTTAAGTTGCCTCAAGACACTGAGAGGTAAATAAGTAGTTAATATTATTCATGATAATTCATGCTAAATCATGTATTTCCTCCGCCATTTTCCGCAGTTTGGCACCTCACGTCACATCATTTTACCGAAGTCAGCCCTATAGCTTCGGCGCAGTGCCGATCACTGACGTTTGTCAACAAAATGGTGCTTGACTCTTAAGACAGGCTAAAATTACACCATATTGTTAATGACATTGAGCATACATTTTTTTAAATACCTTCGCGAAGTAAAATTTCTGTACGTAGTACTTATTATTATTCTGTGGTTCAAGTGGAATGAGGAGCTCGGTGACCATAGTACAGTCGTGCATACTGCAATACTTCGGACATGTCACCAGGCGATGACAACTCCATAGAACGACTGGTCGTACAAGGAAAAGTCGAAGGAACCCGATCGCGTGGCAGGTCACCAATGCGCTGGACCGACCAAGTGAAAGCAGCAGTGGGAGACGGCGTATGTGACTGCACCAGACAGTCTGCCAATAGAGAGAGATGGCGGGAGATCGTGCGGAGAGTTGTATCCGCCTCTACAACCGATGTGAACAACGCCTCAACGTGACCATGACCATATCTTATGTCTATATGTAAGAACTTTGATATACCAACATTGGAGCAATAAAGAATTTGAATTTGAATTTGAATTTGACCGCTCTGCCAAGAGCGTAACAAATAAGAAAAAAGTGACCACGAGCCGAAACACGTAGCGTAGGCAGGCCTCCCACTAGGTGGACCGACGATCTGGTGAAGGTCGCGGGAGGCGCCTGGATGCGAGCGGCGCAGGACCGGTCTTTGTGGAAATCCTTGGGGAAGGCCTTTGTCCAGCAGTGGACGTCTTTCGGCTGAAACAAACGAACGAACGAGCTAGTGTTCTTCGTCTGGTGGCGACAAAACCCTCTGTACATGCTTCGCAAATAATAAATTAGACCCACATTTTAACAACTACATTCAAAAGTATTGTCTATGTAATATCTTGCGTAAATAAACAAATAAAAGGTAAATGTATTGTATTTGTAATATTGAGTACGTAATGAGTTTCATTTAATACATAAATGAAACGAGCTTGTCTGTTGCGTGCACTTGCTGCTTATTTATTGTAAAGTGTATTCTGTATTTTTCTTATAAGTGAATATAATTGTATTCTTTTAGAAAAATAAATATCTAAAACCATAACCATAAACCATGAGTATCAATGCAAATGCCTTTGTAATATGTAGCTCGGACTAGCGCAGTGCCATGCCAGTATGTGTGTACCGTTGTGTGATAGCGTTAAGACAATACCAATACCGACCGTGGAACCTCGGGTGCTCGTCGCAGCAAGAGGGCAACAAAATCTGTATCTACCGATGTCACTATGTAATGTGTCTAAGGTAGCATGATTGCGTTAAGAGTAAGTCAATGAATTGACTGTGTGGGTGGGTATTGCTCATACATTAAGGTGTTAATGTAATGTGTGTATAGTCTGGTCCGTGAGTACGTAGAATTTTGTCTAATGACCCCAAGCTACCTATCCTTATCGCTCGCGCGTAGTTATGTTGCTGTCGCGCTCGCACACTCACTGCGGGCGCCCGTCGCACAGTCGCGACAGCAATATAAAGAGGGCTATCGTTTTAGCGCTCACCAGTTAGCGCCACTGTAGAGTAAGGTCCTGTCACTTGCTAGTAGCGAAGACAGTGGCGCCAACTTGTGAGCGCTAAAGTGGTAGGAGGACTATCGTATTTGCACTCATCAAGATGGCGCCACTGTAGAGTAAGGTCCTGTCAATCGCCAGGGGTGCCAACTGTTAAGTATAAAAACGATAGCCCTCATTACGCGCGAGCGATAAGGATGGGTAACTAGGGGTCATTGGACAAAATTCTACGTGCTCACGGACCGGGGTTTAGCGTTGTGTGATAGCGTTAAGACAACACCAATACCGACCGTGGAACCGTGGGTGCTCGTCGCAGCAGGAGGGCTGGCGGCACAGCGCGGACGGCGCGCGGCAACACGCCGCCGCCGGGATGCAGCGCCCGCTCGAACAGTTCAGGCGCTCCGAGCCTGATTATAGAGGAGATATTGATTATTTTATGTTGAAATTATTTGTGTTAGTTATACCTATTGTGTACGTCACAGTGAAATGAGATGGTGATACCAACAGGTACAATATAACATCCTATGTATTTGTTACGTTGTTTGTTGTATGTATTATACATGTTTGTTTTCTCTTTTTCTATTGCGTCCCCCTGCTGCGTTCTCCCTGCCGCCGGACTTGTGGTATCCTTTCTCCTCTTGCATCTCCGTCAGCAGGGGTACGCCGTGACAACAGAGGGCCCCCGCTAAAAATCAGTTTCAAGACAAGCCCTGGCGGTCTTGATGGACGCTGAGCGGGTGTCTTTTTGTCAGAGGGGCACAAGCAGTCCACTTGTTTATTTCTCTCTGTTTGTATCTATGTCTTGCCTGCTTGTATACCTATCTTGCAAATGAAAAGTTTTCTATTCTATTCTATGCATAAAATAATTTAGACTAGGCGCAGACCACCGATTTTCAGTTGGGTCGGGCTGTTAATCAGTATGGAGATGTATGAAAGTGCGCACATTACACCGATTTGGTATCGGCCGATTCTTCATACAAATTAAAATCGGGTCCAACTATCGGCCAACTAAAAGTCGGTGGTCTGCGCCTAAGCTAAATGAATTATGAATCATCATCATCAGCATAGCATAGCAGTCCACTGTCCTACCCCCAAAACACCACAAACTAACTCAATAGGCTCTGTCTTCTGTATCTTGTCTCACTCACAAACTTAATCAGCAGGTGGGCCATTTATAAAGAAATTGAAGTATACTTGGTCATAAAATACACTTAGGACAAATTTTTCAACTGTCTGATTCTATCTTAACTTGTAATTTTAACATATTTCCATACTGAGACTGTTAATGTGCCGAATATCTAATGTAGTCTGCGAAAGTCCTAATCAGCTAATGTAATCCGCTTTCCCGTTAGATGACTGCGTTAAAACAATCCACTCACGCGCACACGGCTGCTCGCCGCACAGCACGGGCGCCTCGTCCTCGCCGTGCGCGCAGTCGCGGCGCCCGTCACAAACATACATGGCGAGCACGCAGCGCGCGCCGCACGCGAATGCTCCGTGCGCGCACGTGCTAGCGCCCGCGTCTGTAAGAGGAAACTTGTGTTATACAGGATGTCGTTTTAGGTATGGATCACAACATAATAATTGAATTTGGGGCTCAACAAATGCAACAGCTTCTCCTCAAGAGAAGGAAGTTTCAAATCTTAAAAAAGATCGTCAACAATGTTTAAAGTACGCATTAAGCTGCTAAATACAACCTGAGTAGCATGCTGTATACAGCCTGGGGCTATGACGTAGCCTGCTGTAGACAACTTGAGGTTGTGAAGTAGACTACTGTAGATAACTTGAAGTTGTAACGTTAGCTTGCTTGGCGCGGCTGTATACACTCGAGCGGCTGTATACACGCGAGCTGTATACGCGGTACTCACGCGGCGGCTGCACCAGCACGTGCTTGGCGCGGCTGTATACACGCGAGCTGCTGTATACACCGAGCTGCTGTATACACGCGAGCTGCTGTATACACGCGAGCTGTATACGCGGTACTCACGCGGCGGCTGCACCAGCACGTGCTTGGCGCGGCTGTATACACGCGAGCTGCTGTATACACCGAGCTGCTGTATACACGCGAGCTGCTGTATACACGCGAGCTGTATACGCGGTACTCACGCGGCGGCTGCACCAGCACGTGCTTGGCGCGGCTGGCGGGCGGCGCGGAGCAGACGACGCGGCCGCTGTCGCGCGGACTCAGCTCCAGCTTCACCAGCTGGCTGCCGGTGCTGTTCGAGGTTATGGTGTACGGCCTGCGGATGTAAACAAGGGTTCGTATTAGAGCGCTTTCACATTAGGGCTGTTTTACACGGAAAGAGCACAGAGGGAAAAAAAATGAAAAAAGCATAGACAACTTTTTTATATTGACAATAAGGATAGTGCCAGGGTCTGGACCAAGTGTTGCCCAGAATCAACCCATAGTGTATTTTGTTCCTCAAGTCTATACTAATGTGTAAACCGAAGCGCACTGAAATCTATCCCTGGAGTTAAGAGCAAAAAACATATAAAATATCATCGAAGTATACTACGCATAAGATTTCGCGATTGTGGCATTAGAAGCGTGACAGCGGCGCGGCGTTTTTATAATGTGAAGGCATCCGCTGTCACATAGTATGAAATTTTCGGAAGCGCGTCTGTCGCGCGTTTTTCGCACTGCTAAATCGCCTAACGCCCGTTTCCCATATTCAATCCTTGTCCAAATCCGGATTACAACTGTCAAATTTAATTCAGATTTAGATTATATTTCCAAAATTTTCGATGCATTTACACTTTAATATTGTTTAAATAGTCTTATAAACAATATGAAAATGTAAAAACATCAAAAACCACAGATATTTTGGCCAAAAACATATTAAAATTTGACAGTTGACTATCCAAATCCGTATAATTTGGATTAGGATTGAATATAGAAATCCAGCATAAATGTGAAAGCGCTCTTATGTCGTCATCAGATTATTAAGGATTTAAGGGTGGCAGGGCTGGCAAAATGCCAGCGTGAGGCGGGCCGACAAGTAAAAACTTACTGTAGGAGCGTGCAATTAGTGCGTGCGTGCTAGAATGAGTAGTGTATATGTTACAGTAAAAACTCATAATCGGTCAAAACCACATGATTGCAAAAATCTGTCAAAAATGATATTAATTAACTGATGCCCTAAGTCAATATTAATTAACTGATGCCCTAAGTCAATATCACTTTTGACTGATTATTTCCAGTTGAAAGTGGTTTTGACAAAAGGCATTAGTCAAAACGACTTTTGACTGCAAAAATCTTTCAAGTGACTTTGACTGATGTCCTTGGTCAATTTCACTTTGACTGACTTTTCCAGTAAGTGGTTTTGACTAATGCCTTTTCTCAAACCACTTTTGACAGCAAAAAAAACAGTCAAAAGTGGTTTCATTTGAAGACTTTTATACGAGTAAGCCAGCTCAAATATCCATCTCTTTCTCTCTGGTATGATAACACTACTCACTTGTCCATAACAGTATTGTTGAACGACAAATAGTTCCAATAATAAGCGGGCGCGGTCTCGCCCTTCAGCTCGCAGATCAGCGTGAGGTTGTCTCCGGCTTGCTTCACGATGACGTCAGCGAACTCCAGCTCGCCCGGACTGTACAGGTAGAGGGACGGCTGCTGCTGCAGGAGCATCTCTGCTGACCCTGGGAATAGGGTTGAGAATTGAGTGAACGCGAATATTATTGTAGAACTCAAACATTGTACGATCATTTCTGTTGCACCTGGAATTAGAGTTGAAAATTGAGTGAACGCGAATCTATATTCGCGTTCACTCAATTTTCGAACGTGGATCACGTGGATAACGTCTATACGTTTCATCCACGAAGACGCGCCCCACCATTCTTCCGCTAATGTTTGAATGTTATCGGTACACGCTAAATTATGCATGAGTGCACACGCACACTACAATAATGACGCTCGGATTGCTCGGAGCTAACTCCCCGCAACGCGGGCTTCCCTCGACCTAAAAGTGGTGGGGCGCGTCTTCGTGGATGAAACGATCTATATCATTATGTAGATATCAAATAACGTGAAACTATCTATCCTCTGTACCTGGGATTAAGGTTGAAAATTCAGTGATATCGTAAGGCCAGTCAATATCTATATCACGAAAACATGCGTGAACTAAAATTTTTGGGGATTGGAATATTATTATCAGGGGGAACAACAGTACCCAAACATTGTTAAAAATTTATCCTGTAGTTCCCCTGGCCTAGGCTAGGGGAGACTACAGGACTTCAAAAATCCTGTAAGGGGAGAGACATCAGGGGAGACTGCACCCGATTTGAATGTAATTTTTATGACTAAAGATTTTTCATGCAGATTTCAATTACCAAGTTCACCTCATTTGACTTTAAGAAAACATTGTTTTGTTTATGTAATGCATGCCTCCTTATGCATAAACATCAGATCAGAATCCACACAAAAAATGTGTCACATAAATATTGTGATGTATCACTTGGTGGAATAAGAATCTTGTAACAAATACTGATATGTATGCATCAAGCAATAATTAACATAAACAAGCCCTATAAATGGAGAAACAATAATTAAAATCAATAATTGACCTTCCGACTCTTATCTTTTGCATAAATATAGGATACAGCTGTGGTGTGATTCATAAATTACTTTTAATTAATTAGATGTTTGCGTACTTATGTACTTTGAAGATAAATTCTCATGTTTCTCACTGTTAATACATGAAGCTGGACTGGTGACAACATTACAATATTTATTTAGTAACATCACTACATGTTAAAAACAATGTCCCTTTCCTGTCTGTCTGTCCATATGTATGCTTTGATCTTTAAAACTACACAACGGCTTTTAATGCATTTTTTTAAATTGATAAGAGTGATTCAAGACGAGGTTCATATGTATAAAACATGCATATTTCAGAAGAAAAATGCCAAGAAATTCCATTGCAATGGTACGAGCCAGGGGGGGCTGCTAGTTCACTGGATGCAGCCCGCTATCAACCAGTTAGCCTATGTTCAGTAGACGTCCTATGGCTGAAATGTCGATGATGATTCATTTAGGTAAAACTGTCCAAAGATCTTTTGCTTTTTGCTGGATGAACAATCAAAAGGTCGTATTCGTTCTACTACTTGGGAAGAAAAAAAAATGAAGCTATTTAAGACATTATAAACCTCATTTTATTTAAGATTGATCTTGATGTGGTGTGATCCGTACAAATTAGTTTTTAATGCGCAATCTGTTGTACCAAATTTTAGAGGTACCTATAATGCCTGCAAACTGTACACAAAAATGCAATAAATAAAATTATATTCTAGTAGGACTTACTTGGCCTAAAGAATAATTCAACTGAAATACTGTGACTAAAACAAAATTTCAGACTTTACTACTTCATTAACATGTGAAATAGTACATTTACAATTCAATATTTCACATGCACAGTAAATAAGTACCATGAAAATTGATTTTTTGATTGGGACTCTATGTAACAGTATTGGTCAGAGATAGCAAAGTTAAAGGCAACAATTTAACTTATTTTCTGTGCATTCAGGATCTAAATGGAAAGATTTTCACTGACTAATTCAGAAAAACAAGTAGGTAATTTGCATATTTTGTATGATGCTGAATGATACCTATGACATTGTAGAGACAAATAAACAAACTATAAGTACCTATTTGCCAATTTTAGACATAACTTTCTACAAATACCAACGGAGAAATTCGCGAAAGTGAAAGCTTATTCAGATTTATGGCGAAAATACCTATGGCCCCCGTTATGATACCAAAACATAACACCATACATAAAAAATGGTCATGTACATTTTGGAGGGTTTCGGCAATAAAACCGGTTAAGAACACTTAACCTCGTACGCACATTATTACCACCGTTAATATACTCCAGTTAACAGCCAGCCAAGGACTTTTTAAAGGCTAAAATCTTAAAAAACTAACATAACGTAGCGCACGCTTCGAACAACCCCTTAATATTTTTGATAAACAAGATCGACTTAAATTATGGTACATACCTGAACTCAGGGAGAAAGTAAGGACGATAACACTAAATAACATAAACATTATTGACGATAACATTTCTATTTACTTTTTAAAACATTTTCACTATTGACATTCAACAATTTACGCCATTTTTGTTTCGGTATCGATAAACGTTTCTTTACAGCCATTGGGCATTTTATTCGAAATTCTACAAACACATTACTTGCTCTGATTAATTATTTTTAGGAATATTTACAACAAACATTGCGATTTCAATAAAAGATGGCTTTAATTTGATCAATGTGTATTTGTTATAATTGTTCTTAGGCAAGGTAAGTAAGAATTAGATCTTTTTTTGCTGCGTATGTTGAATCGTTGTTTCTTCAAATGATTTCATTACACGCAGCAAGGGCCGTCCATGTCGACTGCAATCACTAAAATTAAGCACAATTACTTGATTAGTAATAACTATATTATTTAAATATAGTTTTGGTATAGTGTTTGAAGGAAATTAAATAAAACAAAATTGATTTATCAATATTTGTCACAATTTCAAAAAGGAAAATTCACGTAGATTAGGTAAAAACGTGTAAAAAGGAATGTGGCACTGGATGACGTATCTTTTGAAAATGACAGCTCATAAATCGTAAATTTCGCATGTAAATTTTCACGATTTTCACCAAAATATCTGGAGATTGTTGTTATTTTTTATTAATTTAAATTAAATAAACGCTAATCCTCAATCTGTATTCTTGAGAAATCACTATGGATCTTAACAGGCTCCCGAATGACAGAAAATTACAGCTATGCAGATGGTATTTCAAAGGTGAATTGTCGATCTTCTCATAAGTTTTTATCAGTGCAAGAATCGTTTATAAAAATCATCAATTTCAGTTGGATGCTTGTTGCTGCCGTTCGTGTGGGCAGTGAACGCAGTGTGGTTCTTCAAAGAAGCTTTTGTGAAGCCTCCATACGATGAACAGAAGCAAATTAGGAAATGTAAGTAGAAATACATAACACACAGTGTGTTTGTTTTTCGGTAATAACTATAAACTTTACTACTAAGCCAGAAAGCTGACCAACCCAATCCTTCTTCTTTCCTTCCAATAATAATAAACCTTGAAAACTGTTGGTAAAGTATTACAAAAATATTGTAATACACAATCAAAATGTAATAAAAAAACTTACAAATTATTTTATTAAACACTGTCTGCATCTATCTATTACCTACTAACTGGTCCACTACATCATTTTCATAAATTAAATAAAATCAAATCCTGTAACAATATCGCATTTATCAATCAATACTACTAGCGCCATCTCGTGGTGTTCGCCTGCATTACCAAGCCTCCGCGGATCACCGTGCTTATTGTAAGATGTATCTAGTTCAGGAAGTGTTTGCGCCGCTCGCCGCTAGATGACACTAGCACATTGAGAGCCGATTTCTACACCGCGGTGTCCAGATTTTTTTTTCCTTAAAGACCTTCCGACGTTTCTGTTGAATATTGTAAGTTTTGTGAGGCGTAAGTAATAAGCCAAGGTTGCATCCGACTGTGACGTTCTTTCGGGGAATCACAGATTGGGACTTCCGAACGCCTAATTACAAATTGCCAGCGATTCTCCCGCGTCTGTGTCCAACGTCCTTGCGGGAATTGGTCTACGGACGGGAGACGCCCGCACCTCATTTTTGAATCTGCCCCGTACTTTGAAATAAAAGTGCCCCATTTTTGCATCAACGCGGTGTTGTTATTTGGAGCCCTTCACCCCGCTTGTCAGCCGCGAAACTCAACCCTACAAAAATCCTCCATTTGCCTTTGATAATTCCTCTAATCTAGTCGTCTTCCTGCAGTGGAGACTAAATGACCTGATGGTGACGACTAAATTTTCTTCATCATCATCATTTCAGTCACAGAACTTTCTCCTCACCTCCCACAATAATTTCCACAATGGCCGGTTGGTGGCCATTAATTAGTTTTCTTAATCGTGATAAATAATGTTTCTTCCACCTACAAGGTGGACCGACGACATCGTAAAGGTAGCAGGGAAGCGCTGGACGCAGGCCGCTACCAATCAATCAACATGGAAAGCATTGGGGTAGGCCTATGTTCAGCAGTGGACGTCCTATGGCTGAAATGATGATGATGATGATGAATGTTTCTTCCACAGATGTGATGATGAGTGGAGCAGGTGCAGCGATTTGGGCCATCGCACTAGCAGCATGGGTTGCAGTCTTCCAGCTAAACAGGGTCTCTTGGGGACCCACAGGAGACTCGCTGTCCTTCATAGTCCCTTTAGGAAGAGCTTAAGACTAGTATAAATTGTAACTGAGGATTGCAATGTTAACATTATAGGGCTGACATACTGATGTCAGATAATGCCACTATTAAATATCTGACACTGCTTGATATGTTGTAGTATGGATTGTTGCAAAGGCCACCAAGATTATTTAATTGTAAAGTTTCTTTACTTAAATTGCTTCAGTATTAAATTTTGAGTCCTATTACTTATTCTCAGCCAGAGAATCAAAATTAAGACATCCATAATGCACTAAATAATAACTGAAAGGTTAATAATAACTCTACTAAGCATTCCTTGTACTAACTTGACTGATTTATTTATTAGATTTGGGCTAAATCTTAAGGTCTATCTACTAAACACTGGAGAGAAGTTGACCATCAGCTTTGAACTTAATTTTTTTCTGATAATTTATTTTGTTGATGGTCTGATGACAGTTTAACTTTCTTCCTACGATAAATCAGTATTTACTACAAATTGTAGATCCTGGCTATAAAGGACTTTCAGTGATTTTGAAATGACAGATTGAAATAATTTCCTTTTAGTACTTACTAATATCTTGTCGATTTCAGCACACATGCTTTGCAGTAGAAATATTCAATGAAATGTGGCTTACTATGATAGCTAATTAATTTATTTTATAAGCTGTAATTTTAATGTTCTTAGTCTAGAATTACCCTATTCTGTTTATTAATCATCTCTCTCTGTCACATTGTTGAAGTGTGATAGAGATGAAGAAATTAGAAATCGAGTAATTCTAAACTACAATGATTGTAAATATAATTTATGAAATAAAACATAATAATCGATATGAAAACACGATTTATTTGATGTAGTAACCCTACCTTAGTTTTTGTACATTATATACAATATAAATTGGCTAATATTAAAATAATATACCGGTTGTTGCTTTCAGTAACCCCTAGGCCACACACATCGCGGCAACCCATAGATTCGCGATGTGTGTATTGGCTTAAACCTCTGTGCTTACATAGTCGCAAGGGCTTTGTTATGCTGCTTTTAAACTGCGCGGAAATTACCCAAGTCAAGTCAAAAAAACAATGGGGTGGGGATGAAAAATTAATGAATTTCATCCCCACGCCTCTGTTTTTGACTTGACTTGGGTCGGCTAATTTCCGCATAGTGTAAATCCAGCATTACACTGTCGCTCGAATGTTATCGCGATGTGTGTGGCCCAGGGATATGCGATATTCAAGGAAGACGAAAGGAGGCGACTTTGCAATTCCTTTGAGTGTCGTAAAACATAAGTCACAGTAAATCTATACAGTATTATAAATCTAAAGTAACTCCATCTGTGTGCGTTTTCACTCAGCGATCTAATCGAAAAGTTTTTAAATCATCTTTCCCTAATTTTTTTCTAGTCAGTAAATAAAACACTGAAAACAACACGCTTTATACAGATAAATTAACTAGATTGTATATAAATAGAACAGTATAAAACCATTTTGGTAATTCATATAATACTCCATACATTTTCTGGAGAAATTAGTCAAAAATCTATTTACTGCTATCAAGTAGCATATTCAAAAGAAAAAACAAAATGAAATAAGAATTCACACGCAATAAAACAATTTATCTACTTAAAAATAAAGACATAAATAGCAGCAATATAGGGGCCATCCATAAAGTACGTCACACGAATTTCATGATTTTTTGACCCCCCCTCCGTCCTTGTCACAGGTGGTCACATTTCTGAGACCCCCCCCTCCCTAGTGTGACGTCACATGTTTTGCAATTTCACATCGAAAAATTATTAAATTAAAACAGCAGTTCCGAAATTATTTTTAATTCCATTTAAATTAAGTACTTTTTTTATGAAATCAACATTATATCAAATATTTAAAACAATTGAAATGTGATGTCACGAAACTTAGGACCCCNTTTTGATGTACATTACGTACCTACATGGTGGTAATTAACAAAATACTAAAAACCGACAGAGTAATGAATTTTAAAAACGTATTCGATGACAATTATTACGTACAATGGAGATAAACTACCATCCCTTGAGTTAAATTTAGCTTATTCATTATGCATTATGTGCCTATAATTCCTAATGAATAAGCTAAATTTATCAAAACTGTTATAACCCTCTCTTAAATAATGTAATCTAAATATATAAAAGGAGAAACTGACTGACTGACTGACAGATCAACGCACAGCCTAAACGGCTAAACGTAGGCACTTGAAATTTGGAAGGGACGTAGCTTAGGTACCGTAGAGGTGCACTAAGAAAGGAATTCCCGAAATTCCCACGGGAATGGGAATTAGCGGGAAAAAACATTTGTATGAAAAAATCTAAACCGCGAACGAAGTCGCGGGCGGCCGCTAGTCTAACATAAAACGGACAGAACGTAACAAATCGCTGTATGTAACTACTAGTTGATTGAAAAAAAAATAGAACGATAATAACCGATTAAAAACCGAAAACCGGTTTTTTTTCTTGGAAACCGAAAAAAAAATCGGTTTTTTATAAACTTTCGGTTTTGCATACCCTACTCTCAACAAGTGGGCCTCAGAATGAACATAGACAAGACAAAAATCATGTCTAATGTCCGTGTTGCACCCACTCCTCTGAAGGTTGGAGACTCTACACTCGAAGTTGTTGACAATTATGTATACCTGGGACAAACAGTCCAGTTAGGTAGGTCCAACTTCGAGAAAGAGGTCAATCGTCGAATCCAACTCGGATGGGCAGCGTTCGGGAAGCTTCGCCATATACTCACGTCCGAAATACCGCAGTGTCTCAAGTCGAAAGTATTTGACCAATGCGTGTTGCCAGTGATGGTATACGGATCTGAGACGTGGTCGCTTACTATGAGCCTCATAAGAAGGCTCAAGGTCACCCAAAGGGCGATGGAGC